TCCTGATTTTTCAACAATATTAATGCAAGGCTTTTCCATGCTCCAGCAAAGCAAGGATTCGGCGAGATTTTGAAGGGGTTTGAAAAAGGAAGATACCAAGAGGTTTTAGAGAACAAGACAGATATTACTGAAATAAAATTGTAGATTACTGTTTTGTTAATATATTTGACCAAAAATTTACCTTCATTCAGTCCTTTTCAGGTACTTCAGTACTGAACTATCTGTAGTAGTATTATGACAAGTAAGTGCAGCTCCTTTCAAAGACATGGCTTATAGAGGTTTATTATCAGCAGAATCAGGGTACGGCTCAAGTATTTTCCTTTCAAGGTACAGCGAGAATTTTACTCACCCTTTAATACATACCTCCACCCCTTTTGCATGTAAGATGTCTAGAACTTACAGTGACTCAATCGCAGCAAATCAGGTTTTGAATATATGGCAATGTAAGCAAGACAACTGATAATCTAGATAACTTGGCTTCCTGCTGTGCTGAGTAAGTTTGTTTTTATAGCAGACATTCTCATTTAAATGTAGACACTGCAAAATATTACAGCTCTTTATAAGTGTTCTTAGTTTTAATGAGTTTTAACAAGAACACTTGTTCTTAGTTTTAATAATATTTAATTAAAGCTTGCTATTTTGCTGGAACTGAGACACCAAGGAAAGAACCTGCTCCGAGGCTTTAATTTGTTTAGTCCCCAGGTATGCTGCACTATTACTGGCTGTTTCCTCTAAGAAATACCGGTAGTTTACCATCATGCCACAAGAAGCAGCAATGCCCCGAGGGCTTGTGTCTGCCATCCAGTTTATCCGCCACATCACGGAGCCATTCTGAAGATGAAAATTTGCTACTGGATTAAGAGCATAGCCACGATGTTTCTCTCCATACAAATACCAGGCACAGAGTCGCATAAATGGTGAATGGAGCACTTGAACTAATTTTTCTGATCTCACCCACTCATTGTTATTTAAGACTTTCTTTAGTGTTTCAGTAGTAGAATCTCCTGTGATCTCAGAGATTTCTTGCCGTTCTGATTCTGTAAAAACTTCATTTCTTGCCAGTTCTTTTGTTTGCGAGGAGAGGAGACCAACAAGCCATTTTGTGAATCCCGGGATAGGTGAAAGAGTAGAAAAAGCTTTTATCTGAGGAAACTCTTTCTGCAGACAAAAGGAGAGAAGAAAAATTCATGAGTTTTGTCATGATTGACAATGAGAAGTTTGAGTGAAAGAACAGCTGATACCCTTCACTTGGTGTCAAGCAAAGACTAGAGATTCTGAGAATTAACTGATACACACAGACACCAAAAAAAAAAAAGAAAAAAATCACCCTGCCAGTAACAGGTTAGCGACTAGAAAGCACTTGGAGAATGAAGAAACTTTTAACACTGACTGAATTACAGTCCACACACACAATCTATATAAAAGTACTTATGCAGTACTTACCAACACTACATTCTGGTATGTCATTTTATAGGCAGAAATAAACAAATACAACTGCATGTCATAAAGAGGTTAATCAGAGGAATAAGATTTTTTAAAAAAAATAAACATACAACTTTTCAAAACCTTTTAGATATAATTTATTTTTCTATGTAACTATCTTTTTTTAAATCAAGGACAGTTTACTATTTCAGTCTATTTTAAAATCAGGAGAGGTACAATTTCCAGATTTTAACAGAAAGAAGTATCTTCTGAAGTTCTGAAAGAGGTTTTTTTATACAGGCCAGCTACTTTTCATGCTATTCTCAAACTATAAACTTCATTGATAAAATAGCAAGAAATATATACGTGCGGTGAAAAAATTAATCACACAGTTTAATACTTGTTTTAACAAAATAAAACTTCTTCTCCTGCTAATTTATGAGTAAAAACTGTTAACTATGTAATCACGTAAAGTGAAACATACATAAGGAAAAGTGGGTGTTAGTTTTGGGGCACACCAACATGAAGAATAGAGAAGGTTGTTAAACTCAGTGTCACTTGGAATTAACAAAAATTACATCAGCCAACCCTGCTGAAGGAGCGGGGAGGCAAGGAACAGAGGGAAGACGGAGCTGAACTGAAACAACCACAGTGTTGTTTTAATTACTGTTCATATAGGAAGAAGTGGTAAGAACCAAGACATTTATCAACATTATAGAAGCATCTTAATGTCAACAGAAAATTGTCTTTAAATGACTACAAAATGCATTTTTTCCTACTTCGAGTATTACCAAGATAACCATTAAAAAGTCATCATCACTCAGACGCTGCCTTACGCTGGCAAATGTTAATGGAACGCATGCTGCTAGGCTGTTTGTACTGCACCTGCGCTGTCGCATCCTCAGGTACCACGGTGCTCCGCACAGCGCTGCCATCTGCGTTCTATTTCCTGAGGATGCCGAAGCCAGGGAACACAGTCCTGGCACACCTCCGCTACAGACTGGAGCCAAGCACCATTTCTAATAACTTTGATAACGGGAATAATATTCAGCTGGTTATTTACAACATCTTTTTCCTTCCCACACAGAGCTTCCCAAATAGCTTACCGCTGTTCTGCTGCCTTCCGGCACTACGATACACCAGCCAACTCAGATCTACCACCTCTTCAGTTTTGTGACTTATAATTGCATAAACTGAATAACCTCACTTGCTCCCCTTATCTGAAGTTCTCTGGCTATTACACAGATACATAAGTCAAAGAATTCTTCTTTTGGGACCAGACAGGAACAAGAAAGTCAGACCAAGTTACAAAGAAACACCCCCGTTTGATCTCCTTAGAGAACTGGATAAAGCAAAAAGCAAATTATTTCATAAAAACACTCATTTCTGTGTCTTACTGAAGAAAACAACCATTTATGTAATCAGAGAGACCAGGAGCTCCTGACTGTGTCATATGCTCAACTGCTTTAGGTACTGTGGTCAGATAATGTAATACTAGTATAGCATTGATCTCCTGTGACTTGATTTCAAGTCTCCACTAAAGGACATGATGGTATTTTATTTTTTAAGAGTAATTTTGAAGCATAAGTCTGTAACAAGATCTATGAAATACAACTATCAGGTTCCATCACATATGCATTTCATAAAAGAAAAAGTATTATTTGGAATTGACATAAAGAGATGCCTGTGGAAGACAATTCCTGCTGATACCTTAGCACCTCTTTGTACAATTTCAGAGAATATAGCATTTATAAACCAAAACAGTTTATTAGGGTTGTGCTCTTACTGCAGGCCATGGCTACAAGAGGCATGGATATAGGAAATATGTTCTAATTAAAAGAATGTTTCTTGGAGTAGACAGCTCAGCCTTTTTAGAAAAGTTCCCCCTCAGCTTTTGAAAAAAGAGAGCAATGACCACAGTAAATTAAAAAAAAATATTTGGGAGCAGAAAAAGGGCAACAATGAGAACAGAACAATGCAACTCCATACACTTGAAAAATCTTTCCCTTCCCAACCCCATGCTAAATACTTCCCCATGGATATAAAGACTATTTATCCACAAATCAATTCAAAATAACTTTATAAAATTTGAAGACAGAATCAAATGCACTCCCTAAATCTTGCTTTTATCACCTTTCATCCACCTCCTTGTAGGGTTTCTGAATCAAGGAGTATACCTAATCATCACATTTGGGATCCACTTCTCTTTAAAGCAGCAGGATCTTAACTAGCATGGTAGAAGAGAGCTATGCTCAGATGCCCCCCTTGCCAGCTACACTCTCCTTGACTGAACACTAGCTCCCACCAAAGACACTACTAGCACAAAACCACAAATCTCCTGGAGAAGGAGGAGGGAGAAAGATGGCACAGAAGTGAATTTTTAAAGGCTACTGGAAAAATAACTTCAAGATACTTGTTCCTGGAGAAAAAGCTGATAGCTTGCAGTTTTGTCAAGATGGTAACGAGCAGCATCACTTGCTACCTTCATTTCTCCATCAGCACACTGAAAGCTGACCAGCGGTGACTGTAACGTGACTGGCCATAGCTTAGCTGCTGAGACAGTCTGCTGTCAAGTAATTTGACTTTTTGCATGTCAGCTCTTACTGTGACTAGATGAATTTCTGCCCAGAAGCGAGGGCCACAACTCCCTTCTGAAGATTCAATGACCCAGGACCCTTCTGCCTGTCCACACAATAATGATGGATGACAACTCAGCAACTGTCTAGGATGTGACAGACCTGCAAATGAACCTTAAGGTACAGAAACACAAACCTGTAATCTGTAATAAGAAGTACCCTTGTCATGTCAGCATCCTTAAGCAGCAGCAAGCTCCCCCCAAAAGACACTGGTTTTCAAAACGGGGATTCATTCTTCTATGTCTTCATTCCCTGTTGAGCTTTAAAGTTCATCTCTAGTCCGTAACACAGAGAACACAAGAGAGAGGGATAAATCAGTAAAAGTTTTCAAATTAATGACATATCAATGAGAAATCTTAGATGTGCTGCTAGAGGGAGTACAGATGTTACTATTGTGCAGTGGGGGTGAAAAAGAAGAAAAATAAAAAAGAAAAAAGAGGGGGAAAAAAAGGTTGTTAGAGGTTATTTTCCTCTAGGTAGGGATTCAAGGAATACCAGATGTGTTTCTTTTTGACCTTAAGATGGGATTACATTCCTTAAAAGGTTTTCCTTTTTTTCTAACTATATTACTCATCCTATAAAAGATAGTGCCTTTGAGAATATATTGCTTAGGTCTCTTTCATGAATTCTTCAAAGATGTTTGGGGTTAAAGCCTGAGAGGGGAAGAAGGAAGGTAATGTTGAAATTTGAGAAGCAGAAACTCTTCTGTCAGGTAAAAGGAAAAAACGATTGGACCAAGAGAAAAGGCTGCTTACCACAGAGCCAAGTCTGGAAGTCTTCTGCATCATCTCTGCTAAGAAAGCAGTGTTTGAAAATACTATTTGCTACTGAACAGAGCTAACAAACAGGGCTTTTCACACAGGAGCTGAGCCATGTCCATTGCTTCCATAGGGTAACAACTCCAATCGTATCTCCCAGTTTGCAAAGCCGAGAGGGTACCTATGCACCATCCACAATGACAAAAGTGTGAATGAACAATTTCTTCCCATATTTGTGTGTTAATAATAACCACTGCACAGTTCCTAATTAAGTAGCTGACACTTTGCTTCCTGGTGATTTTGACTGCTCTTCGGTTATCATTCACTTTCAGGAGTGACCTGTTCACCAAGCCCAACCCAAAATATTTATCAGGAAGTTAGTAGCTCCTACTCTATTAATAAATACAGAATGGGAAACGGCATATTTTTTACTTCTTAGGACAGATAAGACATGGGAAAGTGACCCCATTTTGAAGCTACAGTACAGACTACTACGTATCTGATAAATGCTTGAGTTTAGGAGCTTATCTGAGGCGGCCATTTCTTGTAGAAAAATAAATAGATGCAGCGAAGTGTGTACATTTATGTTGTTGCTAAATTGATGTGCTAGTTTCTAAGGCTATTGGTGGAGAACCATTAATGTTTATTTTCTTGTCAGAAACCCACACACCATTACGAAACAGATGCTCATTTTGGTTTGGGGTAGATTTCTGGTTTTGGTCGTCTTTTAGTTTGGGTTTTTTTTTTTTCCTGCAGAAGAGCGCAGATTTCCCCTATTATCCATCTCTCATCTGAAACTGTCTTGCACTCTGAAAGCTGTAGTCCAAGGTCACATTTTTCATCAATGAAAGCAAAGCCTGTTTTGGAAATCATCATCTCCCCAGGTCACCTAGATCAAATTAAGGTAGCAATTATCAACAGTCCAACCAGAAAGCTAAAACCTGCCAACAATTGTTAAGCATTCTATTGAGTCACATAGTAGCTATCAGTTCTCTCCCCCAAATGCCACAGGCTATAAAATTCTAAGCAGTTTTCTCAAAGGCTTCACCACAGTTATCTGTGTCTGTCATCTGCAGGCTGAATTGCTATGATGTACCTTCTGCGGGGCTACAGACCATTTAGAGTGGCTATAAACACATTCTGAATTAAACGTCTGTCTAATGAGAAATCTATCTGTCTACGCATTCACCAGCACCTATCAGCTTGCTAAAAATGCATCTGCCTGCTTGTTTTCCAGCACCCAATGTGGGGGTTGTTTGTTTTCTTACTAGTTGTCTGAAATTGTTTCAAAATCCAATTAATTTCTGGGAACAATACAAGCTTAAATTTAAGAAATACAAGAGATTATTTCTGTTGTCTGCTCCCTGCTTTATATACATTAATATAACCAAGAGACTACACAGAATGCATGGGCAGCCTATTCTCAGATTTGTGCAGGGAGAACTGGGACCAAAGTGCTATCAGTGGACTAATGAATTCATCCCACTGCTTGCCCGAAAATAATCCAAACAGAAGATGCTCAGATAAAATCAGAAGCCTGTTTATAAAACCCTTCTAAATTATTTATGTAGCAAACTTTTGTCAAGCAACTACCAAAAAAAGGATAATCTCCTATTTAGAGCGGTATACTTTCTCCCAGGATGCCCTTTGTACGCGACACAAGCTACATCCCCCTAAGGTGCTATTCTGATCTCCATTATATCCCTCCCCTTTACCCAATTACATTACAATACCTGTGGCAAATGCCAAATCATAATGTCTAGGTAGATATTAAGGATTCAAACTGCTAACAGTGCACATATAAAGAGATGAAACTGAGGACCCATTTCTGTGACTCAACTTCATACGTCCTCCATCTGCTTAAATTAGTGAAAGACTCAAAAGCAGGGGCCATTAACTTCTATGCAGTGCCTCAAACTAACAGTGCTTAACATTGAGGGTTGTAATATTCGCCAGAGTCTCTACTGCTGCAGTTTTCCTAACAGTCCTAATAAAAACCCATTTGCAAGAAATACTTTCATGAGGGAATCTGACAGTCTTTGAAGGTGAGAAGTGCTACCCTACCCATGTTCATTTTAGCAGCGTATGTGACCAGTTCAGGTGAATTAGCAAGAAGATTTCTAAAAAAATAAGCTCTATCTTAATAGTCCATCAATGAGATTTTCTTTTAAGGGATCTGGTACCAATTGAATTTATAGACATAACTTTGTAGTGCAGATACCTGCTAGATCAATGCTGCAGCAGAGTTTTTAAAAATCTTGCCAAATAAAGCCTTCAATGGTGGAAAAAAGAGTGGCTATTAGCATATTTCTAACTTAGTGCATGTCTTTTTCCAATCTAATGATATACATTCATGACAGGTCCAATTTGGAGCTTTTCTTACGAAGAATGACAGCTCAGAATTCAGTTTTGAGGTTACAATGGCACTTACAAGTAGAAGTGTCAGAGCAGGTTAAGTTAAGGTAAAGCCAGATAAAGGGTTTTTACTAGAGGATAAAAAAAAGTTTTAAGAGTTTGCAGTGCCTTGGGAAAATAAGAATCAAATAACATCCTGCAGATCAAACAGATGCCCACAAAAGTTAACTTGAACAAATGGCAAGTTATAAAAGTGTATTAATCATCAAAGATTCAAATATAATGAAAAACAAAATCCTCGACCTCTTCAAATGGTCTCCTTTTCCCAAAGCATTTTATTATCAGTTAAATTAGAGAGTCTCAATTTATGTAACCTGGAACACTTGGCGATTTAGCAGCACTTTAAGTAAAGATTTGTTTATTGCAAAGCCATGCAAAGGTTACATAGAAAATCCTCTTCCTATCAGAGACCTCAACTATCTATTTTAACAAAGGCTGCTGGAAGCTTGCTTAATGGGATGTAATTTTTGACCCAAGATTTTTTTGCTGAGGCTAAATTGTTTCAGCTGCTGTCACCAAGTCAACTCAGCACTACTGCTATACCATTTGCTATACCATTTGTCCCTTTTGAAGTAAGTGACTATAATGCTGCTCCAAAGAATTATGTCCAGCCTGAACACAGACAACCTTGGAAAGTCCTTTGCTTACACGTGACCAGAGAGAAAGAGAGCACGTGTGGGCTATTAATGTGCTGAAGTAGGACTTCCAGAATTTTGGGAGACAGGTAAAACAGGTATGCCTCGCTCATCATATGCCCTGCCTTTGCCCTGAACAATCTAACTTTGTAGAAATTTCACAGTGTAAGTATTTTGAAGCTGAAATACACAGGGGTTCTCTCCACTGAAAGGTGAACTCCACTGAGATGGGAGTCACAACATTTACAACAAAAGCTGAATGACTAGGCATTACAGAAGTACATCAAATAGTTCTGATAACAACAGGATGATGATTTAGGGTCAAATTTTAGAACTTGCACGTACGTTAAGTATGGTATGTCTATTTTCCTTTATAACTCACTCATAGCTTTTTTAGTGTTATAAGCAATTTAGTGATGGACAAATACGTTGTCAATAGGGTTATTCTATGAGAACAACTCAATTATCCAGAAATTATTTTTCAGATGTGAAAGCAGATAACTGCATGAATTCATTCCAATTTCCCCTCTGTCAAGATCAGACAGATGGCACAACCTAATTATACCTGGACTACTGCACTTTAGACAATTAATCTAAAAGCCATTCTGATAGCAAGAAGCAACAAAATTCAGCCAAATATCAATTAAAAAAAAAAAAATAAAAAACTTCAGGGCAGCCAGCTATGATTCAGTAGTTGACTAATCAATCATTTTGTAGTAGCAGAAATTTGGTGCATCTAATTTTAAGTTATTTTTGTAAGTAGAAATGAAGTTCTAAATCACAAACAGTTTTCTGGACATCATTACTAATCCAGATGTTGGAACAATGAATATAAACACAAGTAGTGATCATTACTTTCAAGTGGTAGCTTTGTTAATAATTTAAGTAGTAAAGACTATTAAATAATATACTCAACACAGAAATATGACTGTCTCTTTCACACCACTCTGTATATAAATTAATGCATTTTTATTTCTTTCTCCAGTTGCTTGGAAGAAGGTTCTACAAGAAGAAGTCCTATAAAACATTAACGATAATCCCACACCATGCAATGATATTATATAAATTCATAGAACTGACTTGCATGAAGTAACTGATTCCTCTGACTTTCAGATGTTAAAGACATCTTCACGACATTGCAAGAAATCTGGGCAATCTCTTCTTTTTTTTTTTTTTTTTTTTAAATAGACATATTCAAGGCAAGCATGCAAACTGCATACATAACCAGTGGCAATTCAATATAACAAACAAGAAAACAAATTAATTAGTGTACAAGAAGTACTTTTGTTACTGGAGCAGGCATAAAATTTGAAAAAGGAACAGTCAGGTACATTGAAGAGACAAGATGATCAGGGGCCTGGAAGGGAGCCTGTTAGCATGCATTAAAAATGCCCCAGCCACTCAACTGAGAGACAGGAGTGAATCTCATAATACACTATGTTGCAAAATACAGCTCTATGAAAGCTACCTTCAACAGAAATGTACTAAATTGATTTTTTAGCAACCTATGCACATGATTAGGCAAACACAAGTAATTCATGCAATACATGTCAACTGTGTAAGAGTAGCTACATTTGGCAGACATTAAGCAACAGCAGAAAATGTTCTTGCAACTCTTTACACATCTTCAAAGGCTGACTGGTAAGAAGCTACAAGTGTAGGGCAAGACCTAGCAGCTCCTTGCCTTGAGCAATGACGAAAAATGGAAACTAAACCAGCAATGTAAGGGGAGCACGTTGGCCAAACAGCATCTTAAGTCCACCCTGCCACACCTACCTGCAGCTCTTTCACAACCCGTTTGATGAGGTAAGTCCCAAGTTCCACACCTTGCAGCCCCTGATGAGTCAAATTGATTGAGTAGAAAATTGCTGTTGTAATTTTGTCTGTATCTTCTGTTTCTAAAGGTGGCCCTTCTTTCACTATGGCCTGGGAAAATAAGAATAACATAAAAAAAAGGTTAGTAGTTATTATCATCGTTATGGGGAGAGGGCCTTTCTTTTTAACTTTCAAATGCGTTAACACTTTTCCCCACTGTTTTATTCATTACCCTCTGTGAGAAACAACAAAAATCTAATCAAAAAGTAGAAAGAAGAGCTGCTTATCCATTAGCAAGTGCAGGAAATAATTGTAATGTGGTTTAAAATTTTCAGAAGTAATCATAACCGCTTTGAAGTTTTAATCTCATTTGCTATCTTTTCTTATGTATTTCTTATCTGTTATTATTCTTCTTGCACTTGAGCAAAACCGCAAAATTTGAACTGACATAACAGAGGAGATATACAGAATATCCCTGTAATTTTTAAGTACCAATTCTCTCATCTCTTAAAAAAAAAATGAAACAAAACCAAATACTCCCAAATTATAAGGAATTACAGATTTTTAAAAGATGTACATTGCAATTTAAGCACTTTGCTGCATATTAAATGCATCAGTGACTGTACCTGGATGCTGCTGGAGATATCACTGGTTAGTGCAACATGCAAGACAATCAATGGTTCTCCTGGGATTGCACAGTGAGAAAAAAAGTAGCATCTTCTATATGACCCAACTCGACGCTTCATATCAACCCAGTTTCTAACAGGATGCACAGCTTCAGAACTCAATGAGAAAATAAAAAAAGTAATTTTTTTTTTTTCATTTAAAAACAGAGGTCAGCTGCCAACCCTACAAGTTCAGTACTTTTCCCACTGATGTCAGTGACAAAACTCTCCAATCAAAAAAGGAGAATTGGGCTGTACGTGAGAAAAGTAAAATTCATCAGCAAACTGTGACAAAGTAGATTGTAAAGCCATATTGCGTGCCACTCTAGTTTTCTTTGGGATGTGCTTATCACGTATCGAGATTTCACTTGCACTTTCTGTTCAGTAAAGGATATCCAACTGAGATGACTAAGTCACTGAACGAGTCTCAACACAACTCTAAAGAATTAGTTCTCCTAAGCTACAAAGTAGTCTGTTAGCACTCCCACAGCCATGTCTTCAATCATTCCAAACATTCTTTTCTCTATTACATATTGAAAGTCTAGTGTGTTTGCCAAAATACCTTGAAGATTAAGTAAAATATTACAAATTATTTTTATTTTCAAAATTTAGCTTGTGTAAGATCTCTTTTCTTTGCCTCATCAACATTTAAGTCGTACTTTCAGAACTCTTTAGAGATTCATTCTTCTTCACACTTTTTATATGACAAAATGCTACACAACATAATTTTGATTCAGTCATCTTTAACTTCATCACTACAATTTTCAATATTTGACAGAAATTCAGGAATTCAGAAATAAATGTTGCAGATTTTAAGGAGTGTTCATAAAAAACAAGGTGCTCTCTTCACATATAGTTTACAAGTAATTCTATGCACCTCACCGCTTCCAGCCAGGAAGGGGAACCTCACTACGTTAGAAGCAGAACATGCTCTTGAGTGTTGGGCACCCCATGCTGCATCAGTCTTAAATACTGATTCTCCACCAACACTGCTGGAGTAGACTGAGGGGAGAAGAAGGTGGCAGTGGCGATGGAGGTGGCAGCAGCACCTGTGGGGGGAAAGGGAGTACGAGAAGGCAGTGCTGCAAGAATCTAGGTTTGTAGGAAAAGTAAGAGCAGCACCTCTGGGAATGTGGGAAGAGTAACTGAGAAGGCTGGGAGAAAAGACAGCAGTCTAAGAGTGCAATATGTAAGCTAAAGGATCGAACTATGGGACCATTTACTTAATTCAGTTTTTAAAGTGTGCTCTTTAGTGCGCTAAATGCAACTATTCCCTAATTATACTTTGCTTACGGTTCAGTATTGAAAAAGCGGTATCTTGAAAACGGAGGATCTATGCAGTCACAAGCATTTCATCAACAAGCCTTACAAACTTCTAGCACTTACTCACTAATTTTCTGGAGTACTTCACAAGGTGATTGCCAAGTGACCCGTTCCAAGTTCAGGAATCCTGTTGAGAACCACTCTGAAAGCATGTTCTTTAGGACTCCATTCATTTCCTGCAAACAAAAGAAAGATGAACTTATCTGCTAAATAAGCTAGGTAGAACATATGAATGCGAATAAAGATAACCTTCATTATTTCAAACTACAACACTGGGAAGTTCAAGGAAGCAAATGCATCTGTTTGAGAAGATTAACCACATAATAGTTCAGCTTTCCTCACACAGGACTAAAACAATGAAAATGTTTAGACACTGTCTATAGTAAACTGCAGACAGGGAAATGGAAGATAATGCAAAACAACGCAGATGAAAAGCAGACAATAAATAGAAGTATTTGAGCAGTCTTGACAATAAGGCCACAGCTGCACAGGTGCTCAGATTTAAATACCATGAAAAAAAAGTCATGGGAAATTTGATGAAAATAAGGACTTGAATTTCACTATAATTTTCTACATCTGAATCTGAGTATTCAGCAGTCCATGCCTTAGGAAGACTATTAGCACTAGCTTATTAATATAAGCAACCAACCCACCAAATTAAAATTTTCCAGGTCTTTACCATATTTTATTAGTCATCTCTACTTTATTAAACATTTTTTCCATTGCTCTTTATGAGAAAGATACAGAATAGCTATTTAGTCCTGCGCTTTCAGCACCATGATTAACACATGCAACTTTCCACTTCTGACAGATCTACAAGGCACATAACGTATCTACTGGAGGTGACTGGAACACATACAGGCACATTTAGGCATCGGGAAACTACACAAATGCTTTAGTTTGGACTTTAGCACAGATTGCACAACTTGGCACAGGAGCTACACATGCCCGCTCAGGATGATAAATTAGAAAATGAGTGTCTTCGAACGGGATGCCCGTAGGCTTTACAGAATTATTCTTCTCTGCAAGAATGAAAAATTTTTGAGCAAGAAAAACAAAAGCAACAGCATAAGACTACAGAACTCAAAAATCGCAACAGATCTGGAACAGTATGATAGAGAATTAAAGCCAACTGTAATTTCAAATACTTTCAGAAACATTCATCGTGATAATGAATTTTATATTCCCTACTAATTTCCTGCTGCCTGTAAAGATTGTCCTGTCTCAAATTCTTTGAGTTTAGAAAGTATTCTTAAAGTCAGCACAGCATGCATACCCCTTAAAGAGATTCTAGAACTTATTTTTCTTTCTTACATTTGCTTTGTATATAGGACACAGTGTGATACCAGCACCAGCTTACCAACAGCCTGATCAGAAACGTAGGCTTACCTGAAACTAACTTAATAACCATCTATTTAAAAACAAAACCTCTCCATCTTCTATTCAGACCTTTATTAAATAGCTACTGTTGTACATAAAATAGACAAATATTATGCTCCAATGTACTCTAGCTTGCTACATTTAAGCAAAACAACAGAAAAAAAATATAAATCTATCCAGAAAACACTTACTACTTAAAACATCTTTCCAAAGCTGAGGTGTAGTCTCAGGACTTTCACAAAAAAGCAAAAATATTTCCTATTGTAACTTAACAAAGAGTAAGTTGCAGAGGCACTTGTCGAAAGACACGCTTTGGCCAACAGGAACCTTCTTTGATGTAACTGCTACAAGTATTCCAAGATTGTAAAAAAAGGACAGTTTTATTCTTTAATGCAACATACTAGAAAAACTAAAAGTTTCAAACGCTGACTATGCTTGCAGCCAACTGTGATCAGGTATTTCAATCTATGCCAATCCACCCAAACTTATAATTAAATTAACTCCTCTCATAAAAAATCCTAGAGTAAAGTTGCTAGTAATGACCACGGTCATGGAGTTTGCAAGGTAAATTCCTAACAAATCTGGCTCTTTTCCATACCTGAAGTGCAGAGTCAAATTTTCCTTCAGTTCCCCCTTTTCCTACCTACTCCTTCTACGCTTACTGAATTCTGTTAGTGAAATACATAGGCTTTTGTTTGGCATCTATCTTTGTTAATACAGAAATGGCTACTATACAAACCATCTAGAAGAAAACAGCCATTCATCTGCATAGAACAATTCTGTCATGCATGAAAATTTTATGCTACTTTTCTGTATTTTTTCAGTAGCATCCTCAAATATGTAAGAAAAGAGCTCACTTATTGAAGCATAAACTGACATATACTTCAAACAGTGAAAATGTCAACTGCATTGTTCCAAATACAGGGAGTATCCATGAACTATTCCATGAGGTCAACCCAGCTTTGTAAATTATTTTTTTATTGGTCTTTCTCAGTAGAGCTCTCTTTCAGTTATATAATCAACTGTGCTGAAAGTCTTCTGCCAAATTGTACTCCCACCTGCACCTGTATCACAATGCTGAACCAAGCCTGCATATGCTAGTAAAGAAAAAAAAAAAAGCTGTTAAATGAATATGAAACTGAAATAATACAAAGAAAATTCACCTTAAGTACATTTATAGAGTAAGCAATCCCCACTGGAACACAATGGAAGCCACATAATGTATGGCACCAGCATAAAAAGAAACCTCTGAAAAACCACAGATACGTGACTATCTGCAACAAGTGCCACTGAAGAACTGAGAGAAATGAAGGATCACATTAAATGAAATCCACCCTAGGAACAGACAGTCTTCACAATTTTTCACTGACGTTTTGAATCAAATGTTCCTGCCTTCTCTGTCTCAAGGTAACACTGTCCTACACAACAATAGTTCGGGGAGGGGGAGGAAGTAACATAATAGATGACATTAAAAAGGACCAGATTAGCTATGTCAAAAATTTGCAACTAGGCTAGTTAAGAGGGACATATGCAGTATACTTCCCCTGCCTAATAAATGGATCTATTGCACATTTATAGCAAGTCTGATGATTTGGGGGGCTTACTGGGCATGTATGTTAAACCTGTGCTGCCTTACTACCTCAAAAGAGCAGACTATTTCTGTAATATGACATCGCTGTGAAAAACACATAATTAGAATAGAATCATTAAGGTTGGAAAGGACCTCTGAGATCATCTAGTCCGTCCAACCATCAACCCAACACCCCCATGCCCACTAAACCATGTCCCAAAGTGCCACGTCTGCCCGTTTTCTGAACGCCTCCAGGGATGGGGACTCCCCCACCTCTCTGGGCAGCCTGTTCCAATGCCTGACTACTCTTTCAGTAAAGAAATTTCTCCTAATATCCAACCTCCCCTGGCGCAGCTTGAGGCCATTTCCTCTCGTCCTACCGCTGGTTACTTGGGAGAAGAGACCAACACCCACCTCACTACACCCTCCTTTCAGGTAGCTGTAGAGAGCGATAAGGTCCCCTTAGCCTCCTCTTCTCCACACTAAACTATCCCAACTGGGTTTTTTTTCCCCCAATACATTTTTCCTCTCGAACTGTACAGTTATAAGTGTCCTAAAGAAGTATATTCTGATTGTTTTGTTTATTCCAGCTTTAAGGTACTTGCCTTGTGAATCCTTGCTTCTGCACAGCTCTAAAGTTTTTAGAAAATAACCATAAATCATTTTCGTCAAATACACCTTGGTGTAGTGAAAGTCTCCAGGTATTTCAGGATCATTTATTTTGTTTTCTTCTGTAAGGGCACACTGTAAGCCAGAAAAATAAGCTGGAGTTGTCAGATGTGGGGTCACATTAACAGATTCCTATGGCTCTCTTGTCATCCATCTGCTTTTTGGAGCACCATTTCAAGCTGCAGTCTAGCAGCTAGGAGGGAAAACTGCTGATGGCTGCACTCCTGCTAGTCATTATTTTGAACACTGCTCTGCATCTATCGGCAGTAACATGGCTCAGATGGCAACGAGTGACTTGGGAGAAAGCCAGTTATACTACATGGAAACTGGTGAAAGTGGAAAACATAGGAATCGGACGCGTTTTGCTTTGTCGAAGCACTGACAGGTTTAGCAAGCATGCTCCATACGATGGGACATAATAATGCCCAACTGAACTGAAGGCTACCTGTCAGGATGCAGAATGCATTATAGAGCTACTTTAGGTCCAAGATACAGCTGTACAAAAGCAATGCAATTGTAACCAAAGAAGAAAGTGAAGCAGATGTGATTTTGGAAGAAAGGAATATCATTTGTGGGGAATTACAACTCCAATTCAAATCATGTCAGTTGTAAATAATAATGCTTTATAAAACAACAGGGCAGCATGCAGGCCGAAGAATTAGAATAGTTCCAGTTAGAAGGGACCTACAATGATCACCTCGTCCAACCACAACTGTGTACGTCGACAAAACTTCCTACTGTCGAAAGACATAAAACACTTTATACCATCCAAAACTGTGTTTAATTCAAGTCAACTTAACAAAATTCTGAGCTGTGTTAATATCACAGTATATGCTAAGTTTCTGAAAAGCTTAACTCCAACAATGCCAGTCTCAAGTTGGGTTCTCTTCTAAATTTAGCGGTAAGTAAATTCTTACTTTCATAGAATCATAGAATCATTTCAAGTCATGAAATTACATCTCCAAAATTTCATTAAAAAGAAAAAAAAGCACACATTTATTATTCAGCATCCCAATTTCAAATTTGAGCAACAAGACATACTCAGAACAGTATTTGAAATTACCAGCTATGCTTCAGTTTCTATTAGCCGAGTATAATAAATTGTGATAATTTTTTTTTCATGCCACGTTCTTGCTACAAGATAGCAAATTACAGGCTTTTTGATCTTCATATCAGGTCCCTATTTATTGGGCAACAAATGGGAAAACTCTTATGAAAAACTTGATTTTTTTATTAAGCTAAACTGCCTCTCTGATGAGGGAACTATTTCCATTTCCCTCTCAAACTACTAAAAAATAAAATACCCGTTACAATGAAAATTCATATGCAGATATTTACAGATAAACATAATATGAAACAGCAGTAACTAACACTCCATGCGTATCAAACAGATGGCTCGGTTATTGTTAGTTGCTGGTTAGATACCCGACAGGGCTACAAGAGAAGTATTCTGCCAGCCTCACAAGAGTCGAGTTTTTCCATGGCTGTGGAATGTTTGCGGTTTTTATCCTGATATGATTCATTTGGGCATACTGACTTATAGACCTACTCTGACAT